GGCAGACAGGCTTCGTAAACATTCGGCTTGAATTCAACGAAGGCCAATTAATACTTACGAATGATCATCAATTTAAATCAAATCAATTTCAGCTCAATCACAATAAACTGCAAAATGTCCACAACTCTTTTCATCGCGTACAAAAAACTGATCTAATATTCATCCATTTCCATCAGATGCATTTTCAACTGATCAATTAATGTGTCTTACTGATGTATTTCCGTGCACACGAAACACGAAAACAATCCATCCAAAATCACAGAATACTGGATTTATCGGTGATCACCTCATCGAAAACATTTTGGTACACATTCCGAACATTTGAATCAAAAAGCGAAATTCTGCAACGGAAACCAAAATTCAAAAAAAAAACATTCGAAAGTTTGACTACCTGGAGACCAGTTTTGTCGACGAAATACGACACGTATATATTGTAGATAGAGACGATTAACGAGAATGCACAAACTACTGAAAACAAGTCACTTTACAAAATTACATTCCTCAGCTTCATGAAAGCCTCACTCGTTGAAACCACCACTCACCGTAGAATCCAGCTTCGAAGCAATGCGCGAATGTCACAGAATCGAAAACGTAGAATTTAAACGACTGATATTCAACATAGTAAGTGAGTAAGTAGAATCCTGCCAGACCCTGAAAAATGATACACGCAATGAAAAGACACAATGAATTCGCTCCTCATTCAAGACCGCAAAAATGATGAATGAAATTCATTTGACAAGAACTCATTTCATTGCAAAAGCAAATTCGCTTTTCCTTTTTCCATCTGGAATGATTTAAAAACCATTTAATTACGAAAGTATTTCAAAGGAATAAAACTAAGATAAACGTACAAATTGGCTAGCATCATATCCCCACGACAAAAACAAAATACCAGTGTTGTACTTCTCCCAATGAGTCACAATGAAGACCACTTGAACACTGATCAAAATGTACAATAGCCGAACCAATGGAACACTGGAAACACAAAATTATTTTACTTCACCTCACATAGCGAATAAAATGGAAATTCATTTGGAACTGACTGGAAGAACCTCATTCGGAATTCACTCATCTCCCATAAATTTCTTCCATATTCAGAATAAAAATGTGAAAATTTAAAAACACAATTCATTTGAAGAAGAGAAACCATTTTTGGACCTGAATTCACCCTGACCGAACACCGAGAATATTGTGATTGTGAACGGTACAGTTGACCATGAATCAAGACCGTGATCAACTAAAATAAAATTCCGCTCAACATCGATGAATAAATAAAAATATTCACACCAAACAGCATCATAAACAAACAAATACAATACTTTTTCAATCAACCAATCAACGAAATCCCGAATCAATCCTTCAAAACACCAGTAATTTGCAGTCAGAATAGTATCACTTGATTTTAATTCACATAGAGCAGTCAGTATGCATTCGTTGAATCAATTAGCGCCGAAAGGTTTCTGGATTACATTCGAGCTGGCGGGGGGGAGGCTGAAATGCACAAGGAACAACTAACAAAGTTCCCCGGTAGGACCAGAAGATCCAGTTCGTCGTGCCTGTTTACCATCGGTTCCATCGAGGGTATGCGCCAAAAAGGTTAGTATCGATATAAACAGCCAAATCCAACCCGGTATGGCCACTTCAATATGTATTTAGTGAATTTCATCAGCCATTCTAATGACTTCAGCTTTTTTATATATAACAATAGCAATAACAACCATAATAGGGTAGGTAATGGTAAGCATAGAAAATAACGCAAATAATCGGAAGAGTACCTGGTGAAGGGTAGTATGTGTTAACGCTCAAATCATAGTCCAAATATGAAATTGTAAAGAAACCCAGCATAACGAGAAGAAATCCAGCTAATGTCAACACATTCGGAGGTAGCCATAGTGGGTAAAACTTGAAAAATTGGAAAATTGATAGAAAAATTGAACATTCTCATAAAATCAACATGAAATAAATTGCACCTTCAAAATATTTTATCGCTAGATTTTTCTGCAATTTACGTGAAATTTACGCCACAGCAAATAGAATGATATTTGTAAAAACTTCAGCTTCAATATGAACACGTCTTAAGAATAATAAACAAAAAAAAGAACAGGTTCACCAATCAATCAAACAAATCTTCTTAACTGATAATGCCTCAATCATCTCTCACGTCACTCAAACTTGATAATTTTTAAGAACGATTTTTTTGAGATTACGATCTCGCAAACTCGTAAAAGTCAGAAAGCTACTGATATGATTTAGATATTTTATATATGATAATTATAATTGATCAAGTGAAAACGCTTCACACTATTATCATCGCTATTGGCATTACCATTAGTTTTATCACTGTTCAGTATGAAAGAATCGAACTTTATACAATTAATCTGCACTTACTTTCACTAGCCAGTCCCAAAAAGGATGTGATATATAGTTCGATAGAGGGCTTGTATCAATTGAGCTGTACTGAAATTATCATAAAATCAACTCGGTTATCAGCCATGCTTCGGCAATACAAAGCAAAGTTTATTTATCTGTTAATTAACTATCCAAAAACGGTCTGACCATTCTACGTAATGTTCTGAAAGCGAAAATTTTTAAGACAGTGACCAACTGAATGATGGAAACAACTCAATTGATGAGAATGGATCGTTCGTTTGAAACAGAGAATATCGAAGTATTTGAATCAAGCATTATAAACGTCTACTAACTTTGTAGTTATCAAATCCCTTCACTTGTCTTTCACTCAAATATTTCACATCGAAGATTCCTTCCATAGTTTGAGGAGTTTTAATGTTGTTAACTTCTCGTTGTTAATACTACTGAACAAATAATGCGCATTAAACAATTGTTCCGAGAATACGAAAACAAATACGAAAATGAATGAGAATACAAACTGAATACGAAAATGCTCCGAGAATCTCTCTGAAACTAGTGCACAATCGCTTAATAATTTCATGCAAGTGTCAAATACTACTGAACGAATGAAATAAATCAACTAATTTATCGAAAACACCAATATCAACGATACGAATATGAACATCACTGATAACAAAAATGGCGATGTTTATGACACGAAAGCAAATCTCGTAGCGAAGCCCTATCATTGCTACCCCAATATAAGCGCAAAGAAAACCCTATCAGTAACATCACGCGGGAATCCCTTATCATTTCCTTGCCTTATCAGAAAATTTCTTATGAATTAACG